CGGGGCTCTCTTTTGTCACAAGATCAGTATCTGCCTATATGACAACGAAGAGAGCAGGAAAAGCCTTTTTTTGAGATGTCTCTAGAGCAACTCCCAGCAAGGAACTGGCTCTTTTCTTGATCACCTCAAATATAGCTGTCAAAGAAATAATAAATCCTGAAAGTTGCTTACCATTCCAAGCCCGAACCCAAGGCCGTAAAGGACCTGATAACCTATCCATTTTGGGGATCCAGTGTGAACGTCAAATGTAGTAAGAAGCCCAGCTCCAATACTCATGAGAATCGCTGATAAATATATCCAATGAGTGTAGTAACCAAACCCCGTGGTAAGGCCACCAGCAATAACGGATGAAATGACGAAGCTTATAAGCATGGGCAAGTTCATGATCCCAGACTTCATTGCGCTCACCCCTTTGATAGCCTGGAACCAGATTGGTATCTGTACAAGTTAGACACCAATGCTACCAAATAAATAAAAAGAGGCAAGTTATCAGTTACTCACATAATATTGCAGTAAGAGGAACGAAGCTCCGAAACAAAAGCCGAACCCTGCACAGCCCAAAATGTTTCGATTCAGGAAAATTCGAGGTGGAACAGTGCCTCTTTCCTGTCTCCAGTATTGAATAACAGCAAAGGAAATAAAAAGAACGCCAAAGACAACGAAAAGACCCACGACCCTCCCGTTTGAACACTGCAATGTCTGGAGTCAGTAGTTGCCCAATAATGACAAGAGCAGGGAAAGGCATGAAAAGAAGTGTCTCCGGAGTAACTGTCCACATTAGGACGGTGTCTTTGTCTCCTTTACTCCAAACATGGCTAAAAAGAGGTGGAAGTTAACTCCAAAAATTGCTTACGGGGTAAGTTGAGCCTCCCCATTGTAGAGCCAGGAGCAGCGAGATGACTGCAGGCAGAAAACAGATAGTTCCTTCCATATCGAGCTCACTGATTTGAGTTTTCAGGCTCTCATTTCTCTTCGGTATGGCCCAAGGGAGAGCTACTAGGATGAAAAAAATAGTAAAAGCTCCGAAAGGTAGGTTGATATAGAAGCACCTTATGAAACTTTAGTCGCCTTTCTCCACATGTTCGCCAATTAATCTTTCGTGTACATACCATCGCCAAGTGAGGTGACTGTCGGTGAACGCACCCCCCAATAATGGGCCTGCAACATTGGAAATACCAAGCATAGAGCCTACCATGCCGGCATATATTGGACGGCGATGAAGGGGAACAGAGTTTGCGATGATCAACATTGTTCCCGAGAAGATCCCTGCGGAGCCGATGCCCGCGATAGCCCGACCAACGATCAACGTTGTAGAATTAGGAGCAACAGCACAGAGTAACGAACCAAGTTCGAAGATCCCCATGACTATCAAAAACACAAGCTTCACCGAATATCGTGCGTAGATCTTCCCGAAAAGTAGCTGGAAGCTGCAAGAGGTAAGTAAATAGGCCGAGCCATACCTGTCCCACTTGCGTTAGTTTTTCGCCAATACTCCCGGGTCTTGGGTAATCATTCACCATCCGACATCGTTGAGTGCATGAAAGTGATCGGTAATGCGAGGTATTGCCGTGGCAAGGATGGTGTTATCCTCAGATAAGGTCAGTGTCAGGCAAAAGTCAAGGTTCTCGATCTAATTCACTAGACCAAAACACAAAACCGCAAGGCATAATGCAATAGTGATGAGGATTAATTTCCAAGTACTTGGGTATTCGTGATGTACTTCGTCGGTTTCGTCTGTACTGGTCTCTGGTGACTGATCACCATCCGCGTTCCCGTGGGCTGCTTTTTCAAGCGGTGGATTGTCACGAGCTGTTTCGAACACTCCAGCATCTAGGGTCATATTCTCTGAAAGAATCTGAAATTATTAAACTCTTTGCGTAGGTAGCCAGGGATGTCTTGAATGATGTATGATAATTCGTCCTCGATCAGGATGCAATGCAGGAACTAGATTATGGCTGAGTCGACAGTGATGAGGGTTGAAGCTCAGGACTGTATGTCCAGCACAAATCTAGGGCCACCCAAGTTAAATACACCAGCATCTCTATCAAGACACTCTGCTAATATCGTTTCCGGTTCATTTCGCAATCACGGGAAATCCCTACAAGACATGTATGTTTACGAGCTTACGAACGATCCAATAGGCTGCTGCTAATCGACCATAGACCCACCTTTTTGTTCACTGGAAACTCCTAGGACTAACTAAAGGTAAAAATTACGACTTGAAAAACGTCAAACCGTTTCAAAAGATCGAGCATTGCCATGCCTTTTCGGGTTGCTGGGCTGTGAAATGGTCTGTCGGGTGTTTCTGTTGAAGATTTACTCATGGCAACAAATGACAGAAGAGGTGATTACAATTTTGGTGTTGCCATTGAAGAGAGCGCCAATCTTCCTAGATGACCCTCGACTACCTTGGTCTGTAGGATGAGACTGAATCCTGTGAGAACAGTTGATACATTTTAGTGTCCTCATACTTTCAAGGTCGATGGTATATGTTATTCTCCTCGTCGGTAGTCATCGCTCCAAAGGACTTCATCACTTTAGGCTTCCCAATGCTAAGAGCATATTAATGCACGCATCAATCCATATGGAATGGGGGGAATGTTCTTGCTATCAGTTTACCAAGGGTAGATTAAGATATCTAGATGCTATCCTTAATTTCGACGCACATCGCTATCAGATATCCCCCACAGACTGGAGATATCTACAACCCCCACGAAGGTACTCCAGTTTTGGCCCCCACCAACTGCAACCATGATTCCAAGCGGGGCATACCATGTGAGTACCTAATTGAACCAAAGCAAAGAAAGTTGTCCTCTTTGGCTGCACTGGATCTATAGACAAAACTGGTAACAAACTTGGGACTTGCCATAACTACTTCTCTTTCATTTGAGTCTAAAAGCTCTATATTCAGCAAAAGGGAATGAGATGTTGAATTGTTAGAACTGAGATCACAATATGGGCTCAAATGTTTCGGCGGTGCAGATCGACAAAACCCCCGCCTCCTTCGGGTTGACTAGTCCCGGCGGATGTCCGCTATCACCTACCAGAATAGCCGTTCCGAACGTTCGGCAGGAAGCTGGTCAACCTAATCAAGATCCACCCAGACCCATGTCCACGGGTTTGACCGCTTACCTGGAGAGGGGAATCCGGATCTGAAACTTGAAGTTCCTCTGGCATGCTCTGCGATGCGAAGCTTCAGTCCGTTAAATGGGGCTATTAAAAGAAGTGACTCCCCGGCCACTGGCCGTGGTAAGAACAGCCAGAACGGCACCAAGCAGAGCATCGGTCGTTGTGCGACAATTTCGCTCAGTCTCGTTCATTATGATGTGGTGTATCTCAATTTGGCTTGCCGTGTGCCTGCTGTCCCGAGCGAGCCTCGGCGACTATAAGCCTCGTACAACAATAAGCCCAGTACGGGTCGAGAAGGCCAATTCAATTGAGACTACGATTGTCGAAAAGGATCAATTTATAGATGCCCTAGTGACAAACATGACTGTTCCAGATCTCGGTGAGTTGCCTTGACCAAACTTGATTCCATTTTGGTATTTGTGCTGATGATTCCCTCAGTCATGCAACTGCACCTCATGTTTGCTGGCGACATTGTGGGAATGGACGGCGACAATACACTTTATGGTGAGCCTTTTCCGAAGCTATAGTAGAAACATGTCTCACAGGGAAAGATTACACCATGCGTCTAAATCCAGACTCGCCTATAGGCGTAATGCATGACTGGTAGGCTCCTAGGTCTGATGAGGCGGTTAGTATGACTAACATATCGCAAGGTATCCGCTGAATAAATCACACTATAACTCTGTCCAGGAGCTGAATCTGCAGAAGTCCCGCCTCAAAGTCCCATTTATGCACTCAGGGGAATGTCTTCACGGTGTTGGCTCTTTCAAACAGTCCAACTTTCCCCAGAGTATAGGTCTATCTGCAAGCTTTGATACTGATCTTATTTACCGTGTTGGTCGGGCGATCGGGACTGAAGCCAGATCCATTGGCGTGCACGCATGCCTATCGCCAGTGCTCGACATCGGACAAGATCCGCGATGGGGAAGAATGCAAGGTAAGGCATCTGATTTCGCATTCTATGGCTCTTATATGACTAATCTGAGCCATAGAGGCTTGGGGAGAGGACAAAGTCCTCACTTCGCACATGGGAGTAGCGTATGCCTCAGGACTCTCAAAGAACAGCTCCTGGTCTGCACCAGACGCAGTCGTCCCTGTCATGAAAGTATGTAGATAGATGCCGGCCCGCATTCAGAGGCTTTTATGCTGATCCACGATACATTGTAGCATTTTGCGGCTCACGGTGCACCCCAGTCAGGACGAAATGCTGCTCCATTTATGGGGCATGGCAACCGCCAGATACTTCAGGACCTCTTGACGCCGTTTAAGGCTGCAGTGCAGCTGGGTGGAGTGCGAGGAGTTATGATGTGAGAATTCTACTAAGCCTGCATATGCTATGGGGCTAATGGATATGCCTTCTAGGGCTTACAATGAGCTTGATGACATTCCTGCCTCAGTGCAGCCAATGCTATATGACGCTCTAGAAGAATGGGGCTATGATGGATTTATCATGGCAGACGATACAGGTACGGACTATTTGCCAAATAGCCACTCCATTGCTTATGTTTGGCGGTAGGGATGCTTGAACTACAAACTATACACCGCGTAGCCGACTCACCTGCAGATGCTATAAAGCAATGGTTCAACGCTGGTGGCATGCTTCAATTCTATGACTATCCTCTCGAGGTATTCCTGAATGTGCGTTCCAAGTACTGTTGTGCACACTGACATATTTGTCGCTAATACCATCATTAGTCAACCATCGACCTAGTTTCAAATGGATCTGTGGAACTGACAACACTTCAATCTCATGTCAAGAAGATGCTTGGTGTCAAATGGGATTTAGGCTTGTTCCAAGACCCTTATATTCATGAGAGCGTTGACCCTAAAGAAATCGCTGAAGGCCATAATGACCTTACTCTCGAAGCAGCACAAAAGAGCATCGTCCTTCTTGAGAACAAGAACTCGACACTACCGCTCCAGCCATCCGAGCAGAATATCAGTAGAGTTGCACTCATTGGTCCATTCACAGATACCCTCAATTATGGAGATTACTCTGGCTCTTGGGGCCAATACCCTGCGGATGCTGCCAAGACCCTCCGTCAGGGGTTGTTTGGGTATACTAAGAACACTGATGTTGAAGTCGTCTCCAGCTGGGGTGCCAATACTTGGGAGTACAACTCACAGTATGTTATCCCGTCTTATCTTCTATCGACGCCCAACGGAACAATCGGGGGTCTTGAGGCCACTTACTTTGCAAATCCGAACTTCACTTTGCCCATTGTGCAAGTTGTCGAAACGCCAGCTCTGGACTGGGGCATGTATCCACCTCCAGGGCTTCCATCAAACAACTTCAGTGCAATCTGGGAAGGACAACTTGAGTCGCCAGTAGATACCAAGATTGATGTGGATGGGTGGATAGGACTTGCCGTCAGTCCAAACACCACGGCAAAGCTATTCATCGACGACGAGCTCATTGTGGCGCATGGATTTCCCGATTCTGGAACTGTTCTTGGCAATATCATGCAGTATTCATATATTAAAGCCAATAGTACGCTTGCACCCGCGGGCTCTATGCCTTTCACCTTCACAAAAGGGGCAAAGTATAAGATCCGGATCGAGTATCAGGCTTTCACTCTATACAAGCGCATTGAGAATGTAGTTGCACTCAACTCACAGCTGATACTCTTCTGGAACCTCGTCAGCCGTCAAGGAGATGCCGTGGCGCAGGCCGTCCGAATCGCGAACTCTTCGGACGTTATCGTTCTTGCAGTTGGCGCAGCGTGGAACAGCGACGCGGAAAGCGGTGATCGTGCAACCCTGGGGTTGCCCCCGAGCCAGGATATTCTAGCTCAGGAGATTTACAAGCTGGGCAAACCAGTCGTGCTTGTTCTCCAAGGAGGCCGTCCCTTTGGCATCGACTACTATAATCAGAGTGCTGCAGCGCTGAGCGCGTTCTTTCCTGGCCAGTCAGGCGGTCAGGCTATCGCCGATGTTCTATTCGGAAAAGTCAATCCTGGAGGCCGCATGCCGGTCACCATTCCTCGACATGTTGGCCAGATCCCGGTATACTATAATTACAAGTCTTTTGCTCATAAGAAGGACTATCTTGATACCGACTCGTCACCCGCGTATTGGTTTGGCTGGGGTTTGTCATACACCACCTTTGACGTCAGTGGATTTTCTGCCACAATTTCCGGCCGAGTCCAGTCAGACTTCACTTCCGGAGATATCATCACATTCGCTGCCAACGTGAAGAACAATGGCACTATCGATGGGAGCTACGTCGCCCAAGTGTATCTACTCGGGCGGGTCTCGTCCATTGTACAGCCGGTCAAGCAGCTCGTGGCTTTCCAGCGGGTCTATGTTGATGCTGGAAAAGAGGCCAAAGTTTTGATGGAGCTCGATGTTGATAGATATCTTACCATCTTGAACAGAAAGAATGAGTGGGAGCTGGAGAAAGGAACATACACATTCGCATTACTCACCCATGGCGGTGATACCGCTGATACGAGCATGAACATCCCATTGCGTTGCGTGTAGATAACAGTAAATAATACCCTTTACTTTATGTATAAGATGCGGAAGGTTTGAAATGGCTGTTGTATTCAACGATCATGATGAATAAAAATGCTTCCATTTCCAATGCTTTTGCCTCTTTGTTGTTGCTTGTTGGTTAACGAGCGAGATATATTCCAGAAAGTCCGTCGGTAGAATTGATACCCACCTTATATGCAGAGCAAGAGATATAATTCGAGGTCTCTGGTAAGCCTTGACGTTTAGCCACTCCATATGATTATCTAGAGAGCACAGTTGTTGACATTATATAAATCCATCTGTGAATAATCACGTAATATATCATATAGAAAACTCGGATTTATGACTGCGCGTTAGCTTGGGCTGGCTGACCTTGGAGCTGATACTGGATGCAAAGCTCGTGGCAAACGCGCGGCGCATATCTATCGCCTCGGGAGAATACGCTAATCTCAAGTGTTTACAAATTGACGATGAGGATGGCCATTGCGACAATCGCGCAAACTCCACTAGATTACCCTGGAAGAGGAGTACATCACCAAAGAACGGAGATCGGCTAGAACTCTTTAGACATATCGCGGCCCAGTATCGGTGACGGAATCGAAGATAGATGCCCCCCTTTTCCCAGCCTTAGTGTGACGTGATGCGGATTGAGATATACCCGCCGTGATAGGACGACTCGAATATCACAAAAAAAGATGATTTAAGAGAATTGTTCTCCAAAGATTCAAACTATTAACAAGTTTATGGTGCAATCTTTGTATCAATACGTAAGTGGGGCAGGTCCAGCCAGATAGCTGCAGAGGGTTTTCCACTTACTGGTAGCCAATAATCAGTTAACCTTTATTCAACTCTCAATAGTCTGTACATATACAGAGATCTTTCCCGGCTTATTATTCTAGGGACTCTATCCTAGTTTTCAGCCCTCCACAGAAATCACGTTAAGGAACCGAAATGTTGTTTCGCAATCTCTCTATCCTTGGCTTGGTAGCGCTGGGATATGACTCGTCAGTCACCAAACTTGGCGATCTTACCTATTATGTTCCCCAGAAGTTAGAGGTACAATCAATTTCACATCTTACACATGCATAAGTCGTAGTCCCAGCTGCTAATGAGTTGAAGCTGGAGCATAACTTCAGTTATTCATGTTCTTAACTATGTACGCTCTAAGACTGATCTAGAACTGGAACTCATAGTCTAGTGGGATCAGACCTGTGTTCCTCATTGTCGTGATTAGGTTTTGTCTATGGTCAATGTAGTGGCTCGATGTCTTGGGAATATATGAAGGGTATGCTGCAACGATCTGTTGAACAGTCGACCATGAGAACTCGTTCCAATCATAAGTGTAGTTATTCCCAGTCCATTGTGTCGCATTGACAGTATGATAAAGAAGAGGACGCGAATAAGGATCCTTAGAGGCTTGAATCGAGGTGACTATGGTGCCATTGGGAGCAGTCATAGCTGCGGTACCCACAGCGGCAGCTTTTGAACTTCTTACTCGGCGGGCTGGCAGGCTGGCAGCAATACTAATGTCCATCACTGCATGGAGAGAAGCAGTTCATGGCGAAAATAAGGTTCAAGTGATTCGCATTAAAGAACTTACTTTTGTCCTGCACATCTAACAATCTCATGTTAAACAAATTCTTTACCGTAATTGACGACCACATCTTCTAACGACTGCTAAATTGAGAGCTTTAATACTGATACTGGGTTTGAAAATCGAAATAGAATGCTACGGCTAATCGTAAATACCATATCAGTGAAACTCATTGCACAACTGATTCTTCTGTGGCTTGGCTACTGAACATGGTAGATTTGGAGGGTCAATGGCACTGCTAGGCTTCATTGGAACTTGGTCACAGCCTCACCTCTCGGACCATTCCAACCATGACGACGACGCCTATAATGCAACGCAGCATATGTACGAATTTCAGATGACTAGCTTACAGGAGAAGATCTTCCATTTGCTAGATAGCCCATTCGTCACATGTAAACTACCCCACCGATGAGGTGTACAAAGCAACAGCCCCACCTGCTAGCACTTTTCCAATGTTTGGACACCACAATCTGTCAAGGAGTGGGACGGTTGCTTCATACCTAGGTACGCCTCCTTGCCCACTCTAGTTGGGTAGTACCTAGGTGCTTGCGAGATGGCACCAAAGTGGAGAAAGTCCCTGTACACCTGCAGTAGTACACACCCCACACTCCATACCCCACACCCCGCCTAACGCTAGTGCCTAGCTACTCAAGGGGTGAAGCATGTAGGTATGTCTTCCGTTGCAAATCATATTCGTTGCAGGTCGTCAAAAGTAGACACGCACTTGGCGTCTCTTATGCATTTGATCCCATCAACCCATTTCGCGAAGCCTGTCCGCACAGGACGACCACCAGTCAAGGAGACCTTCCATTTGCATCATTATGACTGAGGTTATCGCTCCGCTAGGCTTTACGGAGCCTCTGCCGGTGCGGTTGAAGTTCCATGCGAACGACAGAACCGGAGATGTGCTGAACACTGTCCCCCGTGACGCAAGGATCGAGGATGCCAGAAGTCGAAGCAAGCCGCCGTCACTCGACGTCGAAGGGTTCACGCTCATCACACACCAGAGCAAGGTGCAGAACTTCCGTGATACAGAGGAGGTTGAGCGCGTCTACGGCGAGGAAATCCGCCAGCTCCTTTTGGAGCTGACTGGAGCGGATGGAGTGGAGATCAGAGGTGCAGCCGTGCTTCGGTTTGGCGAACGCTCACAGGACAGCGGCGCACACAACAATTCGCGTCCCGGTCGCTTCGTTCATATAGACGCGAGCGACGCCGCCGCCGGCTTCTTCAACTCTCAGTTAGCAGTGCCAGAGGGTAGACGCCTCAAGCGCGCTGTGCAATACAACGTCTGGCGTTCGATCACGCCGCCCCCACAGGACGTGCCACTGGCGGTTTGTGAAGCAGGCTCAATCGACCCGAAGGACTTCGTCTTCGCCGATGCTTTATTCGACACCGATGGCGAGATCCTCATGTCGTTTGAGTCCGTGTTGTTACAATACAACCCCATGCAGCGCTGGGTTTTCTTCGCCAACATGCGTCCAGACGAGGCACTAATCTTCAAGACCAATGATACTCAGCCTGGTACCGCACACCATGTTCCGCATGGCGCCTTCGACGACCCGAATTGTCCACCCGACACGCTGCCGCGCGCTAGCGTTGAGATGCGCGCCACCGCTTTTTGGTACGAATGAGCAGGGTTATGCACGACACCTAGCACCGGCACTGGTGATTAGTACGGGCAGTCCGATATGTGAGATATAAGGAGATGTTGGACGTTTTCAAGGGCCGACGAATCTAAATATGTTCAAAGTCTGAAGTCAACATCTCACTCTTCATTGACCTCTGATTGGGCTAAGTTCTTTCGTGTGACATGATTTGGATAATAGCACAATATCATCAATCGAGCGGTCTTCTTACTCAGGGACAATGTAATTCCTAGCTATCGTGATAGGTTCTTGCGCTCCTTCATGGGAATGGTTTCTTGCAAGACACGGCTTCGCTTCATTGTTGTGACAACAGGAATGGTTCGAGCGGCCAATATCTACAGTAGTTATCAAATGACTGCTGTAGAATAGTAAACTGCAACAAACGTGTTGCGAGTAGTTCACCTCTTATCGAAAGCATGCGCGGAATCACAGTCTGACTTATTTGATACATTGATCTCTGGTGGTCTATAGTGATGGAAATCAGTTTTGGGAAATGTCTGGCTTGAAGAACCCACGAGTCAATCAACAGCATAGTGAATACGTCTCAGATGCTTTTCCAAGCTTGAACCCAAATGCCTATGAGGTATGAATCCAAGATCCTTTTGTACTTGAAGCGACACTATTGCAACGCAATAATATGAATCATACTGTGTCTATAACATACAGACGTATTATCATGGCCGTCTACTTATTTCACATCAGTGGTCAGACATAATCTGTCTTCAAACTTCACACTAAGAGAATTTTCCAACGCAACCGCGCCATCATGCAACCTTTTCAGCTGTGTCTGACTGGTCAGCGACTTTAGACCGCGTAAAAAGCCCTCCATGTTCCATATGCGTAGCGACATGATTCGTCAGATACTTTGAGGGGTCGTTGATAAAAAAGGTGCACGCAATGGCCACTACACCAAAAGGTATCGTCGCCCAAAAGACTCGTCGAAAAGCGTAAGCATATGCTTCTTTGAGAGCATCCGACAGTGCTGCGACGATTGCAGGTGTGATACCAGGCACATAGCTGAACGCGTCCGGGACACCGAGTGCATTATCGATTGTCGCAGGAATCAAGACCGGCAACATCGAGAGGTCCAGTCCTTGTGCAATAGCCACCTTCGCGATCCTTTTGCCGAGCTGCGTGTCAACCGTTTCAGTCATGATCGTGCTAAAAATCGCATTGCCGACGCTTGCCCCTAGTGATCTGAACGTTCCAAGCAGGCCACTGGCAAGACCCAGATGCTTGATAGAGATGTTCAGTCCTGCTATGACGTAGCAAAGAACGGTTATGGTCGGGAAAACACCCATGCCAAAGAACTGGAGCGCCATCCACGCCGCCTTGTTATAGGGGACGACCACGGAATAGACGGCTAGGAAGACGGTTTGGATGGTCATATAGACGATGATTTGTGCTTTTAGATGCTTGATTTTCCCAATGAATAGTGACGCTAGACCACCGAAGAACACTTGGCCCAAGCCATTAGGTAATTGAATTATCCCAATCTGTATGGGGTCACTGGTAAACATGTAGAGCGTTGCCTGCGGAAGGAGGGCGACCATTGCAAAGTATACAGCGCCGCTCACGAAAATGACAACTAGGAGGATGCTATACTCCGTCCATTTCCGAAAGAGAAACAATGGGAAGACCGGATTTCTGGCTAGAGTGAAGTCGTATGCAAACGCCGCGAAGAAGGTGAAACCGCCGATGATGAGGGGAGCCAACACTGAGGCACTGCTCCATGGATGTCCTATGGACCCTCCCCAAGTGAGGCCAATCAACAAGACAGCTAAACCAGCCGAGTAGAGCATAATCCCAATGAAGTCTTGTTCTTTGAGCTCTTGCCATCGAGTCTTCTCATAGTCGCCCTGTGGTCGGGATGGAGGAAAGTAAAACACAAAGTTCCCAATGAGTGAGACACCATTATACATCAGAGCAATGTAGTAGATCCATCGCCAGCCTTCTGCAGTCTTAGAGGCCAGCAAGTTCCCTAGGATGACACTTCCACCAATCCAGGGGATAGTCATACAAGTTTCTGTGAATCCGATACCAAAGCCTCTGAAGTTGGGTCAGTCATGCATAGCTAGACACTCCAAAGCAGGCTAAAACCTACCGCCATTTGTTTGGCACCATCTCGGCGATGCCTGCGTAACTTGTGAATACGAAACCGACGCCAAATCCATTTAGACATCCAGCGGCAACAACATCGGACGTTGTTTTTGCAGTGACTCCAACAATCTTCGATGAAGAATTAGTCCTTTTTATGAATACCAAAACTCAAAGAACACTTACGAATCCAATGACAGAGACGATCTGCCCACCTATTACAGTCCAGCGACGGCCAAATATATCACTAGCTTGCCCAGCAATCGTAAGAGACACCGACGAGGTGATGGCACCACCACCTACGATCCAAGTGATGATGGAGGTATCCCCAAGATCAGTGGCGATATCAACAAGCATAGCACCAACGAGAGAAACACCGAAGGAGAGGGGTCCGACATAGGACAGGGCCAGAAACTTTCGAGACAGTGTCAGTAGGAAATTTCAAACTACCCCCAGGTTACCAGAATCAGACCTACAAAAACGGCTGCACAAGTGGACCATGACAATTTTTCGGCATGGTCTGGATTGTCTTCCAGTGCAGCCTTATGAGGGTCATCGTCTTCCACGTATCTGCCTTTTCGTTCGATGTGGTCAGTGGAGGGACCAAGCTGCGCCATCTTCGATGGAGCTTCTTTAGACATTTTCAGTAAACGTGTTGCTGAACGGAGTTGATTCAGGAGGGTCAGTAATTGAACAGCAATATTTGTGAAGTTGATTGGGACTAATCTGCTATATGTCGCTCCAATGAGTTCCCCACTTGGGATAAATTTTACCTGCGGTAGCAGTTAAACTGTTGAACTAATTTTGGCTAGCCAAGGACCTTCCCCACGCGGGGAAATCTGGTTTTCCCCCGCCTAGTAAAGCGTGCTAAAGTGGAGGTCTAAAATGCCTCCCGTAGGGGTGGACAGTCACTTCTGCAGGCGAGGAAGTCTCAACTTCGACTGATTGCTTTGTTGCACTTCATCTTTGATAGGTCTAAAGCCGCCTTGAGATCTTTGCTATGTTAACAATCATTATTGAGAGGTCACAACTTCCCTTGCAGGTAAACAAGTAAAGCACGCAAGGGAAACTACGACCGGGAAGAAATTAAGTTACTTGACGACAAATCACTGGTCAAACTTCAAAAGACATGTAAGAATACTGATGAAATGGCGCCCATTTAAATCTATGTAAATATATGACTATGTGGCTGGCAGTCTTCCGGAGTCTCCCTGGTCGGGTTAGAATCCGACTTCGACAGACTGAGAGACTGGTAGAATCGCAGATGAGGTTTCATATATTCGAAAATCTCAAACTCAAAGGGACCGTCTCATTTACGTAGAGCATCCCCGACTCAGGGTAGATGCTGCACCATGTTTAGGCCAGCGGGGTTCATTGTCTTGTCAAACCCATTACGCTTTTCGAACTCCTCGAACTCAGGAGTACCTCGACGAAGGTAAATGCTGCCGACAGAACTCTCATCCAGGCCTTTAGCTTTAGCTGCGGCGATCATACGCTGCAATTCCCCTTCGACTTTGGCACGCTTGAATCCGGCGTTGCGAGGATACCAGAACTTGCGCTCCCGGGTAGGTTTCCACTCTGGCAGAGAATCACGGCCAAGATTGCGAAGAACGACCTGCTCTAAAAGACTCTGAAACGAGGGACGTTAGCTAAACTCGACGACCAGACGAGGCTTCTCACATATTTGCCATCAGGACGATTGAAATTGAACGGGCTGTGGAGCGAAACGTGAGGGTTGGTGATCACGCGAGCATAATGAAGGTAGTTTGGACTAGTGACGTGAGGCAGAAAGCCGTGAAGGAGGAACACGTCTCCCTTCTTCGCCGTCACCGTCGTAATTTGCTTGCAATTTTGGACGTGGTCGGAATATCCACCTTCGATTGGGGGGTCCTGTCCTTCAGGATGGTCATAAAGATATTGTACGACACCTGTTATAAATCAATCAAAGGCTATCAGCCTATTTCTCAAATCGTTCATCCTCTTCTCAGATAGCTTACCTTTGATACCGTCTTCAGCCAAGTACGTTCCGCCGCCACGAGGTGGGATGTCAGTGAAGCAGTGGATGACGGTTATGGCATTCCCTGTTGAGTCTAGAAACAACCGATACCAGTCATCATCGATATGCCAGCCTTTCTTTTCTGAGGGCGGCGAGTCGACCTTCTGTTTGGCTTTCTCCTCAGTCCCAAAGTTGATAATAAAGGCGTCACCGTAATACCGTTCGCGGATAGGGTCAATCCTATCTTCGCCACCAACAACCTCGATGATCTTGTTCCAAGCCTCGGGCGCGAACTCTTCCGCAGGAACCTCACGGTGGCGGGGAAGATGCAGGTACTCTGTATGCCAAGTAGACTTATCGTGCTCATCATAGTCAACCCGTGGCCAAAAGTCCTGCATCCACTTGTCTATATATTCTTCCTTAATTGCTCCCGGGACTCGGAGCCATCCTCTCGTCAAGAAGTGATCAACATCTTCGGGAGTAAGATATTTGTAGTCTTGGAGCTGATTATCTGCAATGGTAGCGGTCGATGCCACTGTCTCAGTTACAAGCGTCGCCATGATAAAGAATGCGTTGATTCGATTTGGATAATGCTGGTAGACCGCCTCTACGACTTTCAGGCTTTAATGATTATGCCGATGTGGTGATTATTTGGATCCGCGGACGAGGTGGGTGGTGGCCCGGTGGGGTTGCAGGGCGTCCAGTGGGGTATTTGGCCAAAAGACTCAGAGGGGACTACTATGTACATGTTCGGTCAGAGAACTGTAGTTGCTAGCGTGGCACAAATGATTCGTTTCCAGCATGTCTTTGACTGTGTTTTCGTAGTAGGTAGACTGGTGGGCTGATCTTGCGGCACACAAACAAGTCATTCCCCCACCTGGACTTCTCCTTTTCTTCGTCATACTGTATAGTCGTCACCGTGAACCCTCGTCTGCCTTGAGACTGTCTGTACTCATTCGAGACCACAAGTGTTTCCCCACCTCGGTCTCGGGCAGGTAGAAATTAATATCATTTTGAGAATCAGTTGGAACAGTCAACAATTTTCCCCATCGATAAGGTCACACGCTCACGATGCCTACCATTTCCAAGGTTAGTACTTTTGGGACTGAATGCTCGGTGGCTTATAATTCTTTGAACAGATTATTATTGTTGGAGGCGGCCCAGCTGGCCTTCTGGCTGCGCTGCTCTTGGCGAAGAGAAATATCTCGGTTCAGGTGCTCGAATCCGAGACAAAGCTCAACGAACAGCCTCGAGCGACGCACTATGGACTTCCTGCACTTCCTATTCTTCGTGAAGCTGGCATTCTAGACGAGGTTAAAGCCCAAGGGTTTGAACCCAGATCCGTATGCTGGCGCAAACTTGACGGTACTCGCTTGACAGGAACCAACATGCAAGTCCCACTCGATGTAGACCAACACATGGTCTGCCTGCCACTAAATCAGCTTTGTAAGATCATTCACCAGCACTTACAGAACCACCCATCAAGCAGCGTATCGTGGTCAACTAAGGTAACAAATATTGGTCAAAATGAGAGTAAGGCATGGGTAGATGCCGAAACACCAGAATGCATGAAAAGATTCGAGGCAGATTATGTCATCGGATGCGACGGTGCAAATAGTCAGATACGTCGGTCTTTGTTTGGGGATCAGTGGGACCAAGGATTTCCAGGCAAAACCTGGGACCAGCAATTGGTCGCAACAAATGTAAGAGTGACCCTTTTCAACACATTCTATTTCTACAGCAAGCCAAGCTATTCGATGTCCGTGCTGAACAGTGGCACTAGGTGTATTATGACTTTTCTCAATTTGGGTGGGAAGACGCAAATCTGATTATTGATCCTGAGCACTGGTTCCTGGCTGCTAGAATTTCCAAAGATGGAATGTATAGGGTGTCCTACGGTGAGAAAGCGGGATACAGTCGAGATCAACTCATTGCCCGACAGCCGTTGAAGTATGAGATCCTCCTTCCAGGCCATCCAACCCCAGACCAATACAAACTCGTGAATGTAAGCCCATACAGGATTCATCAGAGGCTTGCCGAGAAGATGCGAGTAGGCAGATTTCTCCTTGCCGCTGACGCCGCCCACCTCTGCAACCCATTGTGAGTTATCGCTCAAGTTCGAAACAGATCTACGCTAACCATCTCCATAGCGGTGGACTGGGTTTGACTGGCGGCCTTGTTGATGTTGAAGGACTCTATCAATGTTTGACTGGAATCCATAATGGCCTGGCTGACGAGTCAATTCTTGATCGATACAGCGAGATTCGGCGGCTCAAATACCAGACACTTACGGATCCTATGTCAACCGCAAACATCCGTCTTCTTTTTGATTCCAATCCAGATACGGCTCTACAGGATTCTGAGATCTTGCAAATGGTCAAAAAAGGAGAGAAAGACGAAGAGTTTACGAAACAAGGGCTCTTGGTAGGTTCTAGAAAGCTATACACGTCGAACCGGATTTGGCGAGAGTGGCATTATTCACATCCTGTTACAGTGTTATCTCATGCTAACGATGACGAGTAGGCTGCAAATAACTTCCGCCACGACTTCACTCAGTATTATCACAGTAACAAAGGCAACCCGGTAGAACAGGACAAGTAAAAATATCTGCTCGATCAAAGGAAAGAGCATGCCCTACAAAGAACTTCTTAGGCGTGATGATACGATCATCATGTATGCTTAGAATAAAACACTCAATACAAGCACTGATTACCGGAACAGAGTCTCCGAGCGGCTCGGTGTCAGTGTCTTACAACATTTTACAGCAAAATCAAATTGTAAATATCATAAAAGCTGTTCCGCCACCACGATCTTTAGGACACTTGCAGATCGTCAAATCTCATCTACTAACATCTCGGTGAGCTTAGTGAATTAGAGCAGGTTCTGCTTGTAGAGTATAACAGCTGGAGCTGCTATTGGTTCGTAAATTATATGGATAATCGAAAAAACACTCGCAGTTCCCGAGCAATTCTGGACTTTTCGTTCGATTTAAAACAAAGGGATGCATTGATTGCCGTTCTGACTCAAGAGACGTGTGAAGTGCACCGTTGCTGGATATCAATGAAGCCAAACTCCAGGAGTAAGAACCAAAAGATCTTCTAATTGATAGTCATCACTCTCCGTGAGTTTGCCAGCGTTTTGATAATTGCACCTGAGGATTGGAGTACACTCTCTACGTCGACTTCCACACTTGCAAACTCAACAGCTCTTTGTGTTCGAAGGGCCTGTTTCAGAATGAGACGAAGGTGAGCTCAGAAGGTGACGCGACTGGGCAGAGTTCACATTGTTCTCCTGTGTCCCTTCGACTCCAGAACAGATGCCACCGAGTTAAACGACTATTTGCAGCTGAAATAGCTCAGATTCGATCCTCGCGAGTTATGCTCGTGTGTCACATCTCCGAGACAAGGCGACTTGTGTTGCATTTGTATACTTCTCATAAAGATTTCAAGTGCACGCAATGATTTATTGGATCACCCATACTCGCAGATATCACTCTAAGACACCAACATCCGCTGTTGCCGTTGTTAATTTATGTCCGTCGAAGTTGTGCTGTTGGTCGCTCTCTGATGCTGTATCTGTGTGCTGCAAAGATTTATTGTAATATTGTGTAAAATCATGTAGCAAATGGGTAGAGCCACTCTGAAGCTCTCTTGCGAAGTCCGGCTCATTTTCAGCCCGTTTGCACATCTTCAAGAAGTCATCATTCTCTAGAGCCTTCTCAGGATCTTGAGTGAACAGGCGAAGCATGTTCTTGCTTGAGACCGGATCGATAATGTCGTTGAACTTCTGCCTCCGGATATCCGCATACTTATCTAGGATTGAATCATCAGTATAGCCATTATATATCCCGACCAAGCAATCATATAAACAGCCAATATCAGCAATCCCCCCTGTAAGGCCGAGACCACCAAACGGGTTACAGACTGGTTAAACTTAGCAAAGCCGACAAATCGCGGTAGTATACTGACCGTGAGCGGCATCCGCAGCCAGACAGAACCTTCCAACCCTCATAGTCGGTGCGATCCTTTGGTGGACACGATATGGACTGAAATTAGTGATTCGATACTGGTCTGGCTCTGGATGACCTGGAAGCATAACCCGAAACTTTTCTGCCTGCCTCTGGAGTAATTGTTTTGTTGTAAGACCGGAGGGCTCGCCATACGAAATTCGCCAAAGGCCGTCGTTGGAAATCCGAGCGGCCATGTACCAATGTTCGGGGTGGATAATGAAGTTCGCATCTTTCCAGCCAAATTTTGAGAAGTCATAGTAAGTCTGTTATGTGAACATGGAACTCCACCCCAAAAAAGAAGGAAACGTACATTTGTGGCTACGAGTTGCTGTTCCCACGTTTTGCCGGGAAACCCTGCATCCCCGAACAGTTCCCGTCGGACCACACTGTTGGCACCATCACACCCAATAACATAATAAGCCTGGACAGTTTCTCTGCGTCCAGCTGTTTCCACCTCGACCCATGCTGTATTTTCATCTTGGCCAATTGCCACTGCTCGATGATTCCATAGAATCTCAGCATCCGAGTATCGACTTAGATGTTCGCAGAGAATCTTGCCAAGCTCATTCAAAGGCAGACAAACTACTTCGTCAGAATGAACGCCATCAAGTTTGCTATCCAAGCCTGCGAGATAAGTTCCGTCCAACTTCCTCCAGCAAAACGACTTCGGTGTGAAGCCTTTCGCTCGTATGTCCTCGAGCACCCCGGCTCGACGCAGTTCTCGTATAGATGAGCCACCATGGTGGGTAGCCCTTGGCTGCTTATCCAATTCTGCTGCCTGATCAACTATCTTAACCGGAATATGCTGTCGAGCAAGCAACAACCCCAATAAGAGACCTGCAGGCCCAGCACCGACAATGATGACCCACGGCTTCTTTTTGGACGTCTTATGCATGGTGTAATAAATTCCTCCAGTTATGACAGAGTAAATGTTTGGAATGGATAGCAGATAGACTTTGAATGGCAGTTGAAATAAGATTTGGTTGGCTTATTGACCCCATGTAAAGAGACAAAAGTTCATCTCTACCATATCACCTCTTTTATCGACAGTACATTTAAAGCCGACTCCACGCTCTCTAATACAATGTGAGGGACATGTATGGGCCGGGACCAATTGACAGGTGGGGTAGGTAAATATGGGAGATGTTGTACCTACTGCAGAGTAGATATTGTGGCGACGATCCCATATTTGGCGCTAAAGTGGGGTTGAGACCCTGGTTCATGAATTGGTGACCCGTTTGCCATGACTGTTATTAAGCAGGAACCCTACGGTGTTTCGCGAAATGATCTTCAAGTCTTGTCAGCATAGCAAAAGAAAACTAGGCTTGAGATCATCTTCTACGAATATGGCTTACATTCCCCACGGCACAGTAAACATTACCGAGTCCGACAAGTCCTTGAAAGGAGTCTTCAGTCTCACGAGCCAGACGGACTTCTTCCCAGCGTCCCCTGGCGTGACTGTAAGGATACCCTACACGACTCATGATATCCCCATACCGAGTATATCATGGAATGCTGCTCATGAGGAGAAAGGGATAGCGAATGAAAACG